AAGCCACCAGAATATCCATCCTCTTACCGTCCCATCTCTCTGTTACCCATCATGGGAAAAATCCTGGAAAAACTAATCTTAAAACGCCTGTACCCAATCCTAGATTCTAATCACATAATCCCAGATCACCAATTTGGATTCCGCTCCTCCCATTCCACTATACAGCAATGCCATCGTGTGGTAGACGTAGTATCCTCTGCATTGGAGCGCGGTATGTACTGTACGGGAGCCTTTCTCGATGTTGAACAGGCGTTTGATAGAGTTTGGCACCCGGGACTGCTGTACAAACTCCGAAAATTCCTACCATCTACCTACTTCCTCATTATCCGTTCCTACCTTACTGATAGATACTTTAAAGTAAATCACAACAATGTATATACATCCCGTTTTTCCCAGTCTGCAGGTGTTCCTCAAGGTAGTATCCTAGGTCCTATCCTTTACACAGTTTATACAGCTGACATCCCAACCCATCCCAACACTGTCATCACCACATATGCTGATGACACATGTATCCTATCAGTCAATAACGACCCATCTATTGCATCCCAAACCCTTCAATCCCACATCACAAACCTTGAAGAATGGTGTCAGAAATGGAGAATTAAAATAAATTCCAATAAATCCCATCAAATTACCTTCACCCTTCGTCGTAAACCAATGACTTCCTGTCCTTCAGTATCCTTTAACAACACCTCACTTATTCCTGTTGAACAAATCCGTTACCTAGGACTCCATCTGGACAAACGTCTAACTTGGAATCCTCATACCAGACTGAAACGACAAGAAACCGCTCGACGTTTCCGACTACTTCAACACTTACTAGACAAACGCTCTAACCTTCCAATCAATTATAAAAGACTGATTTACATGACTATAATAAGGCCTATTTGGACTTACGGGGTTGAGCTATGGGGCTCCACCAAGCCTTCAAATTCCTCTCGCATACAGTCCTTGCAATCCAAAATCCTTCGTAAAATCCTCAATGCTCCTTACTTTGTTACAAATAAAATTATCCATAATGACCTTAATGTTCCTTATGTATCAGATTTGGCCCAATCCAGATATCTGTCCTTCCATAATAAACTTCATAACCATCCCAACCCTCTTGTCTCTAACCTTGCTTCCTATTCGATTCCTGATAACCCTCCGAGGCGTCTGAAAAGAAGATGGCCACGTGATCTTATAATATAGACATATTATTAGAGTGCTACCAATGGGTAGTTTCTCAACATGTGTTCCATGTCTTTATACCAATGTGCAAATTTACTAGATGTATTTTTTTTTTATACAGTTGTAAATATCATTTAAAATAAATAAATAAAAAAAAAAATTTCCTTTATTTTGTACGGAAGTTGGATAATATCATAAATAAATAGGAAATTTTAATATTGATTTTAATGCATTATTCTCTCTGCACAAAGAATGATGGAAAGGGTGAAGCTATAAGTTCTTCTAGGTAATCGGAACTTATTGTTAGTATTTGGTCTCAAAATAAGGGAAAACGCTAAATTTAACCCAAAAATTGGATAATACATTAGGCAAACGCGAAAGGAAGTGCCAAAATCTCAGAAAAGAAAACAAAGATCTGTATCCATTATATGGGTAAACGAATATATAGTAGACAGATGAACAGAACATTTCAAAATGCTGCTAAAAGGGAGTCAAATGCTGGAGAAGTTTGGATGATCTTAAGGGGACGATGCAGGTTTATTATGGTGAAAACCACTTTATTTTGATTGCTACTAAAGGTGCACATTATGACTATCTTCACTTTGAAGCAGGTTATAGAGAGGTCTATCAAGAAAGGGAAGTAGCTATCCTTCTGTTTAGTGCATTTGCAAAATATTTTTTAAGGAATCTAAAAGGAAAACGAGTTTTTCTGAAAGACAATTAGATATTAGCACAATCCAAAGTGTGAGGCACTATGAACAGATAGAGGGCTATTTTTCTTTCTTGATGGACTTCTCTATAACCTGCCTTAAAGTGAAGACAGTCCCAATTTAAAACTTCTATTCTAATGTGCTACTTGGGTTCCAAAAATGACCATTTTTGAGACTTCGTAAAATAGGCTAAATTAAAAAAAATCCCGGCCGAAGTTGATGTAAAATATGACCTGTAACATTGCAAAAGATTTTTCCTAATTATTTGAACAGTAAGGTCCAAGCCTAAATTGCTGTGAATGTTAGAGTTGTCCTCTGTTGAACGGTACAATAGTAGCTCTTACCTTGTCTTAGTCGTTACTGCCATCTGTAAAAATATTGATAGTTGGGTTCCATTTTGTCTCTGATCATAAGGTCTTCAGGGTGTATCCAGAAGTTGTAGGAAATTTTTTTATCAATGTCATTAATTGGAAAATCAGCTATATTTTGTTTCTGTTTGATTAATTTAAAGTTATTAGTTATTTCTTTAGTTAGGAGAGAAATTGGAATAATATTTGCAAGTTGAAAAGCTGTATTATAGGATATTTTTCTATAAACTTTAATTATTTAATAGCTAACAGTCTGGCTTCCCAAATAAGTGTTGCCGTTTTTGTGAGTCCCTGGACAATTTGCAACAATCTATTTTTGAGATTAATGGTATATGGGCCCCAATTTAACTTTCTTTCTTATGTTAAGCTTCAATATTTTATTTAATTCACTTGACATATCTTTTCATTATTTAATGTAATATTCAAGTTGGAGATTTTGTGCTTTGTAGAGAATATTACAAATTTTGTTTTTGCGGGTTGAATTTTTTATGTTGTGCCCAAATAGACAATTTATGTAAGACCACATTGCATTGTACTTGTAACTGATACAAGATTTTAGATTTGAAGAGTACCAGGATTTCATCTGTGAATAAAATGATCTCAGCTTAATCCGTTGTGACAATCTTTAAAATCTCATCCATAATAATGCAGCATGAGCCCTGCAGTGCACCTCTGATTTGCCACTTACTAGAACACGTGTCTCCTACCTGCATATGACTTCTCTCAGATAAATAATTTTTTATTAGTAAATAAATATAATAAAGCTATATATTAGCTATTAATCTTACATTTTCATGTAAGGTATTCAGTCTCATTTTTTCGTTCGTCAGGTGGAAGGAATTTATCAATCAAATAGTTTAGCGTATCTGAAGAACAGCAACAAGTATGGAAACCATCTGATTTTCCTATTGTTTCTAATATTGCAGGAAATCTCAATCTGCCAGTAGCAAATTTGTAAGGAAATGACCAGTTTTTCTTTACCAATACTATTGCAGAACTCTTTCCAAGAATTTAGTTTCTGTACTTTTTTTTTGTACAAAAGGCTTTGTTGTACGTATGCATTATGCTTGGTGTTTCTCTATATATTATCATTCCTTGTGGCTTAATAAATTCTTTTCCATTCCTTGTGTAATGGTGACTAGTTCCCGCTCTTGCCACAGTGTACAACTAGTTTGCCTACCCGCTACCAGGCAAAACCCTACAAGCTTGCCCGTGCAACATACTAAAAATTGTATCTTTTATTTTTTATTGTTGTATTATAAATTACTCAAATTGTAAATAGGAATATGTATACACATTGTAAATACTTTTTATTAATAAAGTTTAATGGCGATAACATATATTGATCAAAGCTCAAAAATAACTGTTATTGTAACGGCTCTTGGTAGCTAGTTTAGTATTAACGGCTCTTGGTAGCTAGTTTAGTATTGGCAGAATGAATACCGCAGTCAAATCTCAAATTGTTAGATCTTCGGATCTCCACCCCTTCAGGGTGTAGGCCAGCATGCAGATGATCAGTATATGCTTCATATACACTTTTGGTTCACCTTAATCTGCTCTTTTATTTCACTATGTCCATTAACTTTTTTCCTCTTCTCTCTCCATGCAAGTCTGGACACTGATTCATCTGCTTCCACTGATTCATCCAGTCCTATAAGTCAGGAGATTGATCCCTACATTAGTATTTCATCCTCCCACAAGTCCAGAGATTGATCCTTCCGGTTGTGGTAACCATCCTTGCTGAGTGTTAAGCCTGATCCCTTACACCGCAGATCAAGAGTGGTTCGTGTACTGATCCACCTGACACTTAAGGTTATCCATCTATTCATCATCCTTTATCCACTCAGTCATCTTAACCCTCTATAATGAACACGCACTGTCGAGGCCTTCTGGTAACTTGCATACTGCCTCTGCATATATACCTCAATACTTGGTTTGTTTCCTTAATTGGATCAACTCTTCAGTCTAGCATGGAACCCTCCTTCCTTTTGCTTTTTGTATAATAAGATATTACATGTGTTACAGAGACATCTGTTGAACATAATAAGTGTCTGTTCACGTCTATGGCGTCCAAAGAATTTATTAAGATATCTTCGTTAGTAATATATTTCTCATTGTTGTGAATAAAGTGTGATTTTATGAATATTAACAACGTTTCTCTGATTTTTTCTCTATCTGCATTTTTGGTAGAATATTTTATTTTGGGTTGGTGGTGTGAAAAGAGATGTCCGTATATATATATTATATATGATCGTACTGATATCCAATAAATTTTCTTCATCCATTATATGCCAATCTTAGAGAAACTTAAACATAAATTGTTTGCAAAGGGTTAAATCAATATTGCTTTCCCCCACAACAGATGTGAATGTCTGTAAGTTTTGGTTTTTGTTCATAAAAAATAAGTTACAACTAGTAATCTAAATAAACACGGAGAGAGAACTTGACTGCTGCTGTAATACATCCTCCACAAGGTCAACTTTCACTCTGACTGTTCCAGCAGTACACCTTACCCTAAGCCCACCTTCTCATCATCAAAAGTTTAAATGATAATTATAATTAATCAGAATAATGTAAAAGTAAAGTTAATAAATATATTTTTTTCAGTTATAAATCTTTGTTCTTAATTTTCCAGTTTTTTAAGTCAGATTAACATTAAATTAATATTTATTTCATTAACTTAATATTTTGTTTTTCATCATTACGAATGAAAAAAAATAAAGTGTTTTACTTTTCTCAATATTTTTTACAGAGGTTCTGTGTTATTTGTGGCATAAAGAATAGTGATAAATACTCCAATGAAGGATATATCTGGTAAGGTTATCATTCACCTATTTATTGTAATATATTCCAAGCTTCACTTCACATTTTTTTTTTCCATTCCCGAATTCTTTTTACATCTTATAAATCCTTTTATTCTAATTAGCATGCCATGTTTGTAACAATCCAATGTTGTTAGGTAGCACAATTTTATGATAATAAAGAATTACTTTTTCTCTCTGATCATTATGGGCACTTCACCATCTAAATGTAAGGTTGGTTTTAAATAAAACTTTTCTTTCTGTAATAATTACATTATCAAGGAGTTCTGGTTCCTGGGCCTGAAGCAGCAAGGCCTTTAAATAAATTATCTCCATTTAAAACAATTTATTGAACTAATATTTTTAAAAAAATATATTAAAACCAAGAGAAATAGTGTAAAACTTTGATCCTTATGTGGTTTTCATGAGAGCCAAAAATATAATTTGAGACAGAGAGAAAATATACTAGATTTCTCTCATATAAATTTACTATTACTGATATTTTCCAATAATTATATTGCAAACTATTTCTTCTTGTTAACATTTATTATTCAAGAAAACTATACTTAAAAGATTATAATTATTTTTTTCCTTAAGAATTTCTTCAATTGAAGTTTTCCTCAACCAAATTATTGCTTCAGCAAGTGTTCCATCTCAGTCAATCCATCACCTCCTTATCCGACAGTCCTCTACCAGCCATACTCTCCACCACTCTATCCTTCCATTTAACTGAGGGTCTTCCTCTTCTTATTCTACCATCTGCCTCCCAATCCATAATTATTTTTGGTATTCTATCGCCACCCATTTGTCTCGCATGGCCATACCATCTCAGTCTCCTTTCTTCCATCACCTATAGGATATTTTGTTTTATTTCCAGTCTCTCCCTTATTGTGATGTTTCTTACTCTTTTGATCCTCGATATTCTTGTTGCTCTCCTCCAAAAAAACCGAAAAAAAAAAATTTTTTTCCCTGGGTCATACTGAAGCTTTCTACCAAGCTTTATAACATCAAGCTTTCTACCAAATGTTGTATATTAGCTTTTTTGTACTAGAATATTGCTGCTCCTGAGTAAAGAGTTAAGCATTCCCACTGCTTTTTTACCATTTGTGATCTTTTTTTGGGGATTGCTGCCTCTGTTCTACCATTACATTTAATTATGGACCCCAAATAACAAAATTGCTCCACTTCATTTAAGTGCTCTCTCCTATCTTCATATACCTATGTTTAGTTTTGTTGTAATTTATTTGGAGACCTCCTTGCTGATAATGATCTATTATATTTGTGGATAGGTAGCTTATATCCTCTTCATCTTGTCCAATTAATACCTGGTCATCATCAAATAATAAATGAGTTTTTTCCTCTTAACTCGATGCCCATTTTCCCATATTTCTTTACCCATCCTTTTAGGCATTCGTCAAGGTATATTGGTATATAAGGTAATAGTGTGGAGGACATGCAGCAACCTTGCCGTAACCCTTTTCCATTTTGAAATTTCCTGGGCATATCTGTATACATATCTCTAATTAGGTTCAAGTTTCCTTGATCTGTTCCTGCTTTCCGTAAGTATTCCCATAGGAGTTTCTGTGGCACACTGTTGTATGCCTTTTCTAAACCAATGAAAATTAAATCTAGTCTTTTTGACGTGTCTGTTTCTATCCCTAATAACTGTCTCAGAGTGAAAATATGGTCAATACAGGACCTCTCTAGTGTAAATACACATTGCTCCTCAGCTTGAACATACTGCTTTTCCAATTGTGCTTTTACAATTCTTCAAGTTTTTTAAATATTGGTGTTAAATACCCTAACTTCATTTCTTGAGGTATATTTCCATCCTTCAGGATTTTATTAATAAGGTTTGTGAGGCATTTCTTCGTTTCTATTGTATTCAGTTGTGTTTTATGTTTCTTTTCCTTCCTTAGTCTCTTAAGCACTGACCATGCTTCAGTTGCTTGTCCAAATCCTAACCTACTGTTAATTTGTGCATTTGTCCTTTCCCACCAGTCACTTTTTTCTGATCTTATTATCCGCACAAGTTCTCTTTTCTTTTGTCTGTAAATTTCTGTCTCTTTTTATTTATTTATTTTTTTATGCTGAGCCATCTGAGATAGGTTTGTTTTTTCTCTTTAATTCTGTTTTCTATGTGCCATTCCATTCTTTTGTCATATCTTTCTTTTGCCCCAAAAACTTCAAAGACAATTCTCTTGGATGAACTTGTCAAAAGGTCATAGATTTCTTGGGTGCTATCTCCATTAAATTTGGTTAGTAATTCTCTTATTCTTTGTTAAAATAAATTTCTGATTTTTTCATCCTGTAATAGCTCAAACTTAAAGACACCTCTCTCTTTCCTTTTACCATCAGGATTGTAATTATCTTTTGGTAAAATGCTTGTAAATGCTGAAGGAATAAATTATGAATAAATAACCTGTTTGATTCCATTTTCTGAATAAACAAATCAATTACAACATACCTTATATGCTAGGTCCAGATTTTTATGCAACTGCATATTTTGTTTGCATGCAGTTTTAAACAGATCACATATCTAGATTGCTCAAATATGAATAGGTATATTTCTATTTAATTCTTATTTCCATTTTTTTAATGACAATACGCAACCTCATAGGGTAAATGTTGTTCATCAATATCTTTAAAATCTGGACATTTCACATCTGCCCTTTCCTGTATTGTTTCCTGATCTCGATCCAATTGAGCACATCTTGAATGCACTGTAGGGAAAACTTGTTGACAACCATATGCAGCCTCTTAACCTTCAGCAATATTATCATATATATGTTATGAAATACCTTGTGAAATCATTGACAACATTATAAACAGTATGCTCAGTAATTGCAGAGAGGTAGTGCATAACAGAATACATCACACAAATTATTAAATTTTGCAAAATTCTTACAATGCGCAATCATAAAAATGAGATCACAAAATCTTTTAATTATATTATTTGTTTAAAACACCTTTCATAAAATTTCCCAAGGTCAAATACAGTCTTATTTGTATTTATTTTCAATGTATTTTCTAATAAAAATGAAATAAAAATTCTAGGGAAAATAAATCATGTATAACTAAAAACATTCCTCTTCATTTTTGAGCAGTATATATGAATCAGTGTACCTAGACGCAATCAGTCAAATATTATATTATATATTTTTGCATATTTGAATTATTTTACATAAAAAATAGTAATCATTTTATATAATAAATTAAAATAGAACATTTAAAATGAAATCCCATACTAAACTTGTAGGTTCATTTTCAATAAACAATAAACAACAAAATAACTCTATGTTCAGTAATTGACTTCTTAGAATTTTTTTTTTTTTCATTTTCTAGCTTTTTATCATCTCCCATTATCATTCCTTTTAACTTCCTAAACATCAGACTCAATTTCAATTTCTTATTTGACTTTACCAGCAATTTCATATTTTATAATTTAAGTGTATCATATTCTTCAAAATTATAATATTTGACCCTTATGATTTCAAAGATAAAACAGTTTTTAAAACATATTGAAATGTTCATTTTTATTTATATTGTTCAAATCAAGTTTCTATTAAAAAAAAATAAGTCAATTTCAAATGCAGATAAATTAGTTCCTATCAGGTCTGTTGATGTATAAAGATCATTTTATTATTAAAAAATATTTTAAATGATAAAAGATTATGTTTTCAGGGACAAATTTAGAATTTCATTTATTAATTTTAATTAGAGCACTTCTTCTTCTTTAGCTTTCCTCTTTAGTGCCTTTCAGCGTAGTGGAGCATTCAGCCAGGAATTCCATTCTTCCCTATTTCTAGCTAGGTTCCTTGCCTGTCGAAGGTCCTTCTCCCTCACCCTACAGAGTCGCTCAATGTAGTCAAGATTCCTCTTGACAAAGGAAGGACATTCTAGGGCGGCCCCTAGGTCTTCTACCATCTGGGACATATCCCATGGTCTTTAGAGGAGCTCTTTCAGTGGGGCTATCTTAGCTGACGAGTTTCTAGGAGCTCTTTCAGTGGGGCTATCTGCAGTTCCTGACGAATAATTTCATTGCGAACTCTGTCTCTCCTTGTTTTCCCAACTGTCCTTTTCATTTCGAAGGAGAAATTTCATTTCGGTAGCGGTGATTCTACTCTCCTGTCGGTCTGTTACTATCCAGCTCTCAGCTATGGACAAAAGTATAGGTAGATACACCGTCTTGAAGATGTTTAGCTTGACGTCTTTGCCTACTTCTCTCTTCCCTACTACAGTGTTACATATTTGGTAGTAAACTGTATTTGCCTTATTAATCCTGTTTGATATTTCCGCGTCTACCTTCCCAGATCCTTCTAACACTGTACCCAGGTATGTGAAGTCTGTCACCACTTCTAATTCTTCTCCATTACAGTATTTGTGGATATCTTCCTTCTTTCTTCCGACTTGTAGGATCTTACTTTTGTTGGTATTTATAAGCATCTCTTTTCGTTGGAGTTCTTCATACCATTCTATAACTGCCAATTGTAACTTTTCCACTGAATCCGTGATCATTACCACGTCATCGGCATAGAAGAGAAGTTGTATCACTAAAGGATTAAGATTCCTACGTCCCAGGTATGTCCTGTCCATTCTTCTCTTACAGATGGATGCCACTTCATCCACGAATAACAAGAACAACAATGGGCTTAGGATATCTCCTTGTTTCACCCCCTTTGCAATATTGAAACAACCCGATTCTAGCCCGTTCAGCCTCACTATTCCTTTGGGCTCTTGATATATAGATTTTATCACCTCTGTCAGATTTCTCAGAACATTCTTTGATCTGAGAGCTTCCCATATTTCATCTTGTGGAACCGAGTCAAAGGCAGATTTGAGGTCAAGGAAAGCCAGGTACATATTTTTATCAAGGTCCCAGGATTTCTGTAAGATATTTCTTAGTGAGAAAATGTGGTCATGGGTTTGGCGCCCGGGTCTGAACCCACCTTGCTCTTCTCCTATTAGGTGCTCAACTAGTTGTCTTAAGCGACCCACCAATATGGATGTATA